AAACAGATAACACCTCATAGGGAGATAAATAACAGAGGGATTGCCACAGGGAGGGGATCCAGGAGTTGAGGATGGGGGCTCTAACCTCAGGGCAGGTCAGAGAAGACCTCTAACAGGTGACATTTGAGTAAAGACATGAAAAAGGTGAGGGCCAACTCTCATGGATACTGGGGACACGAGCAGTGCAGGCAGCAGTAACAGCAGGTGCAAAGGCCCTGGGGCAGGACCATGTCTGGTGTGTTGAGTGCATGTGGCTGGGGCAGAGTGAGCAAGGGGGAGAAAGGGTGGCAGGGACCACACAGGTACTTGGAGGGCATGTTGGGGGGATTTTGGCTTTTATTCGGGAGGCAAGATTTATCAGGGTAATTATTAATAACCACCCGTACCCTGCAATCCACGTCCACACAGACAGGGATCTAGGCTTGGCTCTGGCCATGGCTCTGAGGCAGGAAGGGGGTGCCAGGCCTCTCTGCACTTGGCGTTGCCCCCTGCCCTCAGGGGGGCCGTGGGACAGGCTCCAGCTCTGCCCCTCAGAAGATAGGTCTATGGCCACACCACCTTGAACACACCTGATCTTGGCCAGTCTCAGAAGCTAAGCAGGGTCAGGCCTGTCTAGTTCTTGGATGGGAGAAGATTGGCCCCGGGCCCACCCAGGCCAGCTTGCCCAGGGAGCACAGCTGGAAAGGCGGAAATAATGACATTTAGCCCCTTGGACTTGTATCATTTTTAGCTTCAACGCAGAGAAGTGTAACCAGCTACTCCAGGCTAACAGTGCAAAACCAGCCCCTTCCCGGTCAATACCCAGCCCCCAAAGTAACCGATTTGTTTTCAACATTGTCGTCGAACGTCACCTGCACCTCTGTGTCTGCCACATCTGTTTTGGGCCACATCCGTGAGGCCCGTAGCGATGCTGTGTGAACCAGCAGCCGTGTGTCTGTCCTTCACTGCACATCGTATCCTATTCTGTGGCTGTTCCACAGTTCATCCTTCCCACCCCACTGTGGAGGGACATTGGAGTTGTTTCCAGTTTTCGGCTATTGTGACTGAAGCTGCTAGGAATATTCTGCCTTTGGTGGGCAGAAGGCTCACTTCCCTTGGGCATATACCCATCAGAGGTTGCAGGGGGTAGGGGCAGCTGCCGTAACAAATGCCGTAAGCTGGGCGGCTTAGAACAGGAGAGATTTATCCTCTCCCGGTTCTGGAGGCCGGAAGTCCTGAATCCAGGTGTCTATAGGCCCACCCTCCGAAGTCTCCAGGGGAGGATCCTTCACTGTCATTTCCAACACCTGGTGGCTCCCGGCATCCCTTGGCTTGTGGCCGCATCCCTCCAGTCTCTGCCTCTGTCTTCACATGGCTTTTCCTCTGTGTCTGCATCTCTCCTCTGTGTGTCTCTTATAAAGACACTTGTCACTGGATTTAGGGTCCACCCTAATTCCTGGATGATCCCAAGATCTTTAACATGATGACATATTTTGTCTAGATAAGGTCACATTTGCAGGTTCTGGGAGTTGGACATATCTGTTCCACCCGCTACAGTGAGCATACATTTGGCTGTAGCAGACATGGGCAAACCATTTTCCAAAGTGGTTATACCAACCTTCCCTCCCTCCCACAGGGAGTTTCCCACCCTTTTTTTTTTTCGGTCCGCTGGTGGGTAAGGGGATACGAATCCTTGACCTTGGTGTTAAAACGGTGTGCTCTAACCACTTAGTAACCAGCCAGTCCCTGCCTTTTCCACCTGGAACTCTTCTAGGGCAGAGTCCACAGCTGTCCAGTGGCTGTTTGGGCACCTGGGGCTGAAGGAGGAATCACAGGTCCCAGGAGCCACAGGAGCAGGCACGGGCCAGAATCAGCCCAAGCAGCTGATAGGGGAAGTGCTATCCAAAGGGAATTAAAATAATAATAATAATAGTAATGAAAGCATCCCAATCCCATCAGCTCAGCATTGTCATCATTAGCAGGAATTCTGCAGTGTTGTTGGTAAAATACTCCTCACCCCAAAAAACCTTTTGCCGGTCTAATAAGACAATTGCTGTGGTTACTTTTGTTTTACTAGCACGAATGCATGTTACCAACTTGCAAGTTTTAGTTCTTTATCCTTGAATACACGTTGCATCCCATGGAAGTCGATGCACAGAATTCCCAGTTCTGGACACCCGTGAGCTCCACTGCTGCTTCCCCCGAGAGTAAGTTCCCACCGTTTGTGATCATTTGTGGCCTCTTTGGACAACGCTTGTGCCTCTCAACCCATGCGTTCTGCATCTTCCCAGGCGGATACAGTAAATTTCAAACAAAAATGAGAACTGGGGGTTGCAAGGACGAGGAGCCACTTCCTTTCCGTGACTCTATGGACCCGCCTGGAGCTTTTACTTCCGTTTCTAATGTAAACCACCGACACAGAGTGTAGTATTTGCTGCGTAAGTGCAAATGTTAGTTCCTATGTGAAATATTTTGCTGAATTTGAGTATCCAGAATTGAAATATTTTTCCCTCTCTTTAAGTCATTCGAGCCTTTGCTTTAAATCTAAAGAGTGAATGTGGACAACAGTGTTTATTGCTGATGATTACATGATTATCCCTGGAAACAATGTGGGGGTGGCTGGTAAGAAATGATGCTGGGAAGTCACCTGGTCACCGGGCCTTAGGTCATCTTGCTCACGTAAGAATGGTGAGCTCCCGGTGGTGGGGACAAGGGACAGCCTCACACAAGAGAACGTCTCCAGCTGCCTACGTCTCCCCCTTCCTCTCTCTGTCCTATGTCGTGGACATCAGCCAGAGTCCTGGGGTCCTGTGGACCTCTGGGGCATTATGCCACCCAGTCTAGCTGGGACAGGGCTGGCCATCTGGAGCCAGACGGTGGGGAAGCCTCACAGGGCTCTGTGACCCAGAGGACCCAAAATCTCATTCCCTGACACAGCTTCAAGCCACGGTGGGACAGAGGGGACAGGCTCAGGGACTAATGGGAGCCAGGGTGATAATGGCAGTCCAGACAGGTACAGAGAGTGGCCGTGGGTGTCGGTGCTGATGTAGGGAGGCTGGAGGGGACAGGCATTCCTGAGGATGGCCAGCGTCCACGGGAAAGTGGGTGCAATGGGGGAGGTGGACACAGAACACTTGGGGACTGCCACGAATCCCCCGTCCTGCCACCAAGGGGCGCCGAGGCCCCACGCGTCCCTGCAGAACTGGGGGCTCCTAGGACTCCCCACCTGCAGCCCTGGTTGCAGAGACAATCATAGAAGGCCACGTGTAATTGAAGTGACTGCTGCTTCCCCAGGGCCAGGCCTGCACTGTTCCGGGTCCCTGGGATACAGTAGGTGCTCAATAAATACTTGTGGCAGGAATGTGTGAATGAACAAAGGGGCTGAGGAAGGACTCCAGAACAGTGCAGTTCCCGTGGTCAGAGCCGGGAGGGGCTGAAAGGGTACTCACTCGCAGATGGGGAAACTGAGGCCCAAAGAGGAGCATGGTCTGGCTTGATGTCACTGCTAACGTCATGAACCCCTTGCCAACTCCCAGAGGATGGACTTTCCTCTGCCTCAGCTGCCCCTGACAGCTCCCCCTGCCCTTCACCCCTCTGGCTGTTCCCTGGAGGGGCAGCTGCAGTCAGCGGCCAGCGGGGCCCTCACAGAACAGCGAGGGAGTCATAGACAATCCCCGGCCCCCAGGCATCCCATGCCCCAGAGAAAAACATAAGCACAGGCCCTGCACAAGAGCAGATTGTCCCAAATGACAGCATGAGCCACCCCATGCAGGAGCGAGGAGGCGGGAGGGGCAGCTTCAGGGGTAGGGTTTGCTGAGTGACTATGTGACACCCTACAGACACCCCCCAGTATACACATGGCCCAGGTCTGCCCTCCTGGTTCCAGAAATCTTTACGAGGAGGATATATTAGGCTAGGGGCTGGCAGAGAGCAGCAGTTCTAACCTGTCTCCTCCACTGGGGAGGGGTCCCCTGGGTGGGCCTGAGACAAATATGTGGCATGGGGAGTGTGCTCAGGACCCATTTGTTCCCCAGCTGTGCCCTATATAATTCCCTGTCCTCACCCCCACACAGGGTCAGACATGCTGGGGTGGAGGGTGGGAGCTGGGCCAGGAGGAGGAGGGGGTGTGTGTGATCATGTCTGCACACTGGGAGAGTGTCATTGTGGATGTGATTCGACCAGCGTGTCCCCAAGACTCTGCAAGCCAAGTACATGTAACTGGAGTGCCCTTTAAAAAAAAAAAAAAGTGCTTGTAAAGATTAAATATGAGTTTTAAAAGGGTGAACAGCAATGTTGACTAAAGAAACCTCAGCCAGCATCGCTGAGGCTGTAAAAATTATTTCTGAGTTTCCTGGTAGCCAGGGCAAAAGGGGTAATTGGTATGTTACAGCGCCTGGTTAGGCACGTCTTCTAAGGGGCCTGCCTGTTTGTGACAGTGTCTCTGAATACAAGCAGGGGTGCGTGTGAGTGGCAGAAAGAAGAGAGCACAGAGTGTCAGGAAGTTAGATGGTGATGAGCCTCCTGGCAGCCAAGACGAGAGGGGAAATGAGTGAAGAGTGTACTCAGTGTGGCCTCGCCAGTGCCTGCCTGTCTGTGTCAGTGGATCTGACTGCATGCCGAGGTGTCTAAGTGTGTGGGATGGGGAGTCACATAGCTGCACGTGGGAGATATTTTCGAGCTTCCTGGAAGGCTGGTTGAGTTCCAGCCTGGTCAGGTGTGTCTTTCTCGCTGTGTGTGTGTGTGGGGGCTCCTCTGGCAGCTCATATAGGACAGTGCCTGGCAGCCAGGCGTGCACGGCTATCCTCAGCAGGGCTCCAGGGCCGGGCGTAGCCAGCGTGAGGCAGCAGCAGCCGATCCTGTGTGCCATCGGAGCTGACGAGGCGCTGGACAGCCAGCAGGTACTCTCGATGGGGAGCCAGTGGTGGGCAGGGAAGGTGTCTAAGTGTGTGGGATGGGGAGTCACATAGCTGCACGTGGGAGATATTTTCGAGCTTCCTCGAAGGCTGGTTGAGTTCCAGCCTGGTCAGGTGTGTCTTTCTCGCTGTGTGTGTGTGGGGGGGCTCCTCTGGCAGCTCATATAGGACAGTGCCTGGCAGCCAGGCGTGCACGGCTGTCCTCAGCAGGGCTCCAGGGCCGGGCGTAGCCAGCGTGAGGCAGCAGCAGCCGATCCTGTGTGCCATCAGAGCTGACGAGGCGCTGGACAGCCAGCAGGTACTCTCGATGGGGAGCCAGTGGTGGGCAGGGGCAGCGACCCGGGGCCCACACATACTCTCGGGCCCGCAGTGGCGAGCGGTTCTTGTAGACGAGCTGGACACGCACTTCGTAGCGCGTCTCCTGGGCTTGGCGATGGCGGCCCAGCACGTGGGCCTGGAACACTGTGGGCAGGGTGGGGGGCTGAGGCCAGATCACACATCCACTGCCAGAGAGGGAACTGAGGGTCGGGGTCAGGTCAGGGATCAATGAGGGATAGGGGTTTTATCGAGGAGTCAAATTAGGGTCAGAAGAAGGGGTCAAGAGTAAAGTCAGATAAGGATCAGAGGTCAAGCAGACAGGATCAAGTTCTGGTCAAGCTTAATTAGGGGCTAGGTGAGGGTTGGGGTCAAGGGTCTCACCAAAGTCGCTGCCGCAATAGTGGAGCAGCCGGTGGGCACGACCGCGGGTGTCAGGGCAGGGTGGGCAGGGGTCTGTGGGGGGTGGTGCTGTGAGGGGCACAGGCCTCAGCCCCCTGCTTCACCCCCACTGGCCGTCCCGCCTCACCTGGGGCCAGGGTCGGGATCCGTGCAGGGACGGCAGCGGGGGCTGCGGGGGAGTTGGGGGGCTGAGGCTGCACCTCCCGAGGCTGTGGCTGCCGCAGGGGCCAGCCCAGGGCCTGCACCTGAGCCTGGAAGGGGCCGTAATGTTCCCGAGGGAGCCAGAACTCAAACTCGATGCCGGGGTTGGGCTCCTGCAGGAGGACCTGGAGTAGGGGACCGCACACCAGCGAGCTGCAATAGAGCCCGGTGGCCCAGCCTCCGCCCTGTGACCCGCTGACGCCAGCCACCCCCTCTGACTCACTCAGAGTCCCGGCGCCCACCCCCGCACCTGTAGGAGCAAGTCTTGGGAGGTGGGCCCGGCGGCGTGCAGCGTTTCCTCCAACCCCGCGGCGCGGGCGTAGACCACACGGGTGCCCGCCGCCTCGTAGGTCCCGGGCGGGCTGACCGCCCAGTGCCCGTTAAGCACGTAGCGCCCATCGCCCCCCATCAGCGCTGCAAGAGAAGCGTCAGAACCGGCCCGTCTGCCTCCAAGACCCTGGGGTCCCCTTCCCGGGCCTCAGTCTCCCCAGCCGCAACCGGGGACAGCCACCGCACCCTGGCGGCCAGCGGGCGCCTCCCCCCTCTGCCCTGCGGTACCCAGGTGGTTGCGGCTTCGGTGGCCCACGCGGATGTGTCTGGCGCCCTCAGGGATCAAGGTCACATTCCAGTACCCGGCGAAGGCACCTGGGCAGGAGAGTAGGAGGGCGTTGGGGTGCTGGTGGGGGTGCATTTGAGCGACGATTCGAGGTTTGAATGGGATACTGCGGGTAAGGCGGCCAGCCAGGTCCCGGGACCCAGAAAAAGCTCCGTAGAACATTTGGAGTTACAATTATTGTAGCTCAAGTGTGGCAGGGAAAGGGTTAAAGTCCCATCTGTTCGGGGGCGGGTGGGATAATCTGACAGTGGCCAATCAGGATGACGAGCGAGAGGGGCTGGGCCGCGGGCTGCCCAATCAGCACGGGACTTCGCTTCCGGGCTCGCGGCTCCTTAAAGGGCGCGTTCTGGAGGAGCGTGCGGGGAGGACGGGGCGGCCGGTCACCAGAGTCTCGGAACACGCGCTGCACGAAGAGGCACGAGTCGTTGGCGCCGCCGCAGCGGCCGCAGCGGTCCTCGAGGGCGCCTGAACCCAGCAGCCCGTCGCAGCCTGCGCTCTAGAGGGGTGGGGACACGCACGGCGTCACTGGTGCCCGGAGCAGCGGGCCTAGGGAACAGGGCGGAGCCTGAGAGTAAAGGGGCGGGCCTTGGAGGGAGGAGAGTGGGTGGAGCCTGGGTAGGGGCGGAGCCTGGAGAGAGGGGCGAGAGATCCTAGGGAAGGGTGGAACCTGGAGGGAAGAGGATGGGTGGAGCCTGGGTGGGAGGGGCGGGGCGTGATATAAAAGGGATGGGACCTGGGGCTGGAGCCTAGGGAGGGGAGGAGTCTGGAGGGAGGAGGCTGGGGGCGGGGCCTAGGGAAGGGTGGGACCTGGAGGGAAGAGGATAGGTGGGGCCTGGACGGGAGGGGTGGGGCCTGATATAAAAGGGATGGGGCCTGGAGATGGAACCTGACAGTAAAAGGGTGGGCCCTCGAGACGGGACTGGGGGCAGGGTCTAGGGAGGGGCAGAGCCTGGAGGGGAGGACAGGGGCTGGGGTGGGGCCTGGCAAGTCCTTACCAGGCAGCGCCCAGCCACGCAGAGTGCCTGGGAACCAGGGCTGCAGGGGGTGCCGTCCAGAACGCGGCCAAAGCTGTGGTAGAAGGCGTGCCCCTCGGCCAGGCAGTTGAGGTCGCACTGGTTGGGCGCTGGGGGCGGGAGGAGTCGGTGGGCCTGGGACCGCTGTCTGAGTTTCAGTCCTCACCCCCAAGCTCCCTGAGGTAGCCTTTCCCTTGGGCAGATGAGGCCCAGAGAGGCAGCCAAAGCCACACATGGAGGCTGAAGCGGAGCCGAGACTGGACTGCAGGCACCCTGCCTGCAGCGTCCTGGGACTCTCCCCAGCAAGTATCCTGGGACCGCATGCACGCGTTCATTCACTCACTCATTCATGGCAAGTCCTTATATTAGGAGTCCTTACCCTGTGATCCACTATGAACGTCATTGCATGTTCTCCATTTATTTATTCTGCAAACACTCACTGAGCACCTACTATTTTCCAGACGTTGTTCTAAGCTCTGGGATACAGCAGCAGGAGGAACTCTCTCAGCACTTGGGCCCTGCACCCACCAGCTGTTCAATGTAAAGTGTTTACCCAGGACTGATGAGGTCCGGGGAGGGCCAGCGACACACCCAGGCTACATAGGACTCATCCCTTCTGCCAGGCAGCAGCGCAAAATGAGCTGTTCGATCCCACCCACAGGCTCACAGCACTGATCCCTGGTCCCTCTGGCTCCCACCTCCCTGAGCCTGGCCGGCAGACCCTGCCTGGAACGCATCCTGAGCTGGCCCTAGTGGGCCTCTGCGGGGGTGGGATCATGGCAGGTTTCCTTCAGTTCTCAGGAGAAAGAAGGAAAGAAAAGGCAAGCCCGTGAGGTTGACGAATGGCACTTTCTGCATTCTAAGCTGTTCTTGTCTGTGTCTGCCTCCGCCTGTACCGTCTGAAGCTGCCCGTCTCCCTTAAATCTGTAGGCACGCTGCCCTGGGCACGCAGTTATATAACTCCCTACTTTCAGTTCAGTGCACCAACATTTCCTGCTACTGGGTAAGTTTGAGAACTGTTGGCCTCTGGATACAGCTCAGCCTGGTGTTCGACCCTGTGCAGGGTGGACTCTGCTCCCGTCTGCCCCTGCTCCTTCAGTCCCCACACATGCTGGTTATCCTTCACTTCACCAACTCCTACCTATGCTTCAAAGCCCCAGCGTTAATGCCCCCTTCTCTGTGCAATCCTCCAAGTACCTCCTCCTCTTCAACAGCCGTCTCTCCCTGCCAGCCATGAATTTTTTCATCTGGACCAACCATGACCACAGAAGGCCAGGCTACTCACCCCCGTGGAAGGGCACCCATTGATAGGTCTTCTGGTTGCCCAGGACGGGGCGGCCATTGTACAGGGCACACTGTATGTCTCGGAAGGGCACAGCCCCTGGAGGGCAGTTCTGGGGGTAGAGATAGGTGGGTCAGAGTCTGGAACAGCCCCCGAGAGCCCACAGAACCTGGCAGTGTGGTGGCCATATTTAGGGGCATGAGTGGGGAAACAGGAGGGCTTCGGGGCAGAGTCGGGCCTGGGGAGATGGGTAGAGCTCACCGGCAACTGGCAGAGGCGGTACTCGTGGGTGTCACCCCAGCACGGTTCTTCCTCAGGAAACCTGCCGGGAGCAGGGTGGCCAGAGTGTGGTCAGGACCCCCGGTGACCCTCTCCCGGAGCTAGCCCGTCCACCCTCCACCTCCGCCAACCCCACCCGCATTCCAGCTGGATCAGGGGGATTAAAGGGCACGGCATGTGTGGGCAGGCCGAGGGCGCGGCCAGGGGCTGGGCCGGGCTGTTGGGGGAGGAGGGGCAGGGACCCCCTGGCTCACCGGATGCAGCGCCGGCTGCGCACGGAGACGCCCCGCCCGCAGGAGCTGGAACAGCGGCTCCAGGAGCCCCACGGCGTCCACTCGCCTGGACCCTACTTGGGGAGAGAGAGGCGCGGTCAGCCTGGAGGGGGAGCCGGTGACCCCACACCGCCGGCGGGTCCCCATTCCCATCTGCCCCCGGGGTCCGTGCCCGCCCTTACCTGAGCACTGCCCCCCAAACCACAGTGCAGGAGGGTCCAGAGCAAGAGCAGGAGGTTCTGGAGGGGGCGGGGTCTGGGGGAGCAGAGGGGTCGATGCAGTGGAGCTGCCGCAGGACAGGGGTTGAAGCCCAGCTCTGCCCTGACTGGCTGTGTGATCTTGGGTGGTAACTAAACCCCTCTGGGCCCCACTTCTCTGAAGAGTGGGGTGACCATAGAGCCCACCGTTACAGGAAAGTTCTGAGGGATCCCTGGGATCAGGTAAGGAAGACAGGAGGCACAGGGCCAGGTACGCAGAGGTAGAACTCGAAATATCATCTGCTAAGGTTATCATCGGCCGCGTGTTGTCTTACAGGGCACACAGTAGGTGCTCAGTCAATGTTCCATGACTGAAGGAATCAAAGACAGTGCCCTGGTGGCCCCCTCCCCACCATCCTTCCTTCTACCTTCCTGTGTGGCCAGAGGCCAGCCACTCCGCTGCCCCAGGCCTCAGTTTCCCCATCTGTGCAGCGGGGACCGGCTGGACTCAGTCCATGATTCTATGAGACCCTGCAGAAGGTATGGCCGGTGGGGACTGCGTCAGGAGCTGGGTCCCTGGTGGAAGCCCCTCAGGTGCACCCCGGCCTCCAGGGCCCCCTCAGCTCCCAGACCCGTGGCAGCAGGAAGCCCCCGGTTTGGAGGCGTGGCGGGGAGGGGTGACCTGGCCCCGGTCCGGTCGGCGCCTCGTGGCCTCATCTCGGAGGGTGTGGGATGGAGCGCCAGGGTGGCCTGCAGAGGAAAAGGGGCCACTGAGGAGGACGATGGAGGGGACGGGGAGGTGGCGGGGTGGGTGGTACGGATGGGGGAGGGTGCGAGGGGGGGAAAGACTTTGCCTCCCCAGCCTCAGTTTCCCATCTGTCAGGGGAGGGATGAAGTCACTCATCATGCACACCCTCCTCGTGACCACTGCCTGGCGGGAGAAAGGGGGAGGGAAGGGAAACCGGTTGCCCCGTGAGTCCCTTCTGTGCCAGGACCAGGGCGCCTGGCGGTCAGCTGTGCCCGAAGGGAAGGAAGGCAGGATGAGCTCAGCACTCCGCAGCCCCTGGGCTCCTGTGCACCAGATGGGGACCAGGACCCTCAGTTTCCCCAGTTCTCAGGCCCTTCCGGCTCTGACACTTGGACTTCTGGGCCACCAGGGGTCTGGGCTCTGAAGTGCCTCCAGGTGCTGAGCATTTGGGCATGGCGGGGCTTGCCCCAGGGGTCCAGCCTGGACCCTCTCTCTCTGACCACAGCTGTGGGGCCACCTGCATCTCCACCCTTCTCTAACCCCAGAGCCTGGGCTGACCCAGGAAGCAGGAAGAAGACCGGCCCGAGAGCGGGAGGGGCCTGACCTTCTGACGACCCCCCACCCAACTCTGAGCACGGGCTTGTGGGGTGGGGACGTAGGTGATGGAAAATAGGGGCTACAAGAACCACCCTTCCCACTCCTCAAAGCAACCTCCCCAAGGAACAAGCACGTCTCTCCCCGTTTGGGCTGCACCCCTGACAGGTGGGGTGATCTCAGGGCAAGCCACACCCGTGGGCCTCAGTTTCCCCCGGAGGCAATGGGACCGAGCTCACTCCGCCCTGGGAATTGCTACCCTCCCCTCTCCCCAGCCCGACCGGGCCCAGGGAGGGGCAGGAGCGGATCGCCAGGCCAGGACGCCGGCAGGGATAGTGGGAGGATAGAAGGTGGGACTTACCGGCTGCACGGAGCCCGGCAGCGCGTCCAGGCTCCCCGCGCGGCCCCAGGGCGAGCGGAAGCGGCGGGGCCCGAGGTGCGGGCCGTGGGGTGGGGGGAGCT